AAGCCCCCCTAACTACGCCTATGTCTATGTATCTGTTCAAGCATATTCAATTATTTGATATCTTATATTGAAATTACCTGATCGACTGACGGACCAGTTTATACAGTATACAAGTTACAAATTATATCAAGCAAATTTTATATTTATTTTAGAGCCAATTAGGCACCTAGTGCAAATCGTACAATTACCCAATACCAAATGTCAAACATCAAGATGTGCCTGTTTAAAAAAAAAAAATGTATAAAATAAAGTTTAAGAAAACTTTTAATTTAATTTTTATACTTCATTATTTAATGTTACCTATATTATATTATTTAATTATTATCATATTATACACAATTACCTAGTGCAAATCGTTCAATACCAATACCAAAAATACTCATGTATAATAGTAATACTATTACAGAATGTGGATAAAATGAATTTCATCCACTTCATGAAATGAGCGATTTCACTAGGTGGATGCGACATATATACGCATGAGTTATATATAAGTGTTTAATTTTTATATGTAACTGGGCTAGGCATATACGTATTTTATGGCTTGTAAAAATGTTGTTTACAGACTTACAGTGCGCAAAGACCTATATCTATAAATAAGTACCTAAGTGAATATTGTATAATTTATTTATTTATTTATTGTATAATTTGTTTTTTAGATCTATTGACTATTTCCGGCCCGATCAAGATCAACTGTACATTTTTAATAACAATATGATCGGGGGTGGGGGTTTCTATCCACACAACTAATAAGCTGTCTATTTTTAGGAGACCCTAAACAACAAAATACGTTTTCCAGTTTCGGAGGTCTGCGTTGCTAAAGAAAAATCCAGCTAAAATTGACTATTTTTTAACGGTTAAAGAGGTAATTAATTTTTTTTTTTTAATTTCAAATTTTATCTACTTGACAAGCATTTTATAATGATCCTTCAACTTTCTAGCTCTCATAATTTCAGAGAAGTTAAAAAATAGTTTTCAGGACTGAACTTTTTTTTAGAATCTATATATACAACTTGAGCACTATATCGGATCGATATCGTTAATGTCTCTTTTTTTTTTTTATTAGAATAATAAGTTATAAAATGGCTTATATTACAAATATCTTACATTAAAGCTGTTTTAATTACCCACATCCTCGTTATATCATTATTGAATTACACTTCCTATTTACCACAAGATCTTGATGTTGTAAAAAATTCAGATTTTTTTCATTCCATTACCATATTAAATATCAAGAAAGTTAAAAAAAAAAGCTCACATCATTGTGAATTCAATTAATCCATCTCTCAGCTGAGAATTTTAAATCAAGAGATCAAATGAAAACTAACAAAAACCTCAAATAATGAATTCACCGTTAAAAGAAAAAAAACCATTTTCTTGTCCATTATTATTATTTATTGGCGAGTTGATGACCCCAACACCACAGTGTTATTAGTTGGATATTTTATCAATCGATAATATAATTTTATATTTTTATCCGATTTCAGCATGTGGTCGGTGTACATATACTGACTGCGACTCGTTATGTTAATTGGCCTAAAAAAATGATAATAATAATATTTTGTTCGCCAACAGTGTGTACTATAGTAATATTATGTGTCATTGCGTAAGAGTAAACATAGTTGATCCATGATTTGAACCATGGACGAATTTAAGTCGACTTGGCGAGCTATTACTTATCGAGGACCAGTGGCGTAGCAAGGGTATGGCGAACTGTGCCTACTGCCTACGCCAGGGGCGCAAATTATGAAGGGGCGCAAATTTGTGCTTTTAAATTGGTACTTATTTTTATTCTACCTTCAAAACGACATTTCATTATTACCAATACGGCTATACATTTTGAAATGTGTATGATTTTGTTTACCTTGTTTATCTTTAAATTCGTGTTTCGTGTGTGATGTGTTTGTGAACACTGAACATCGAGCTTATCGTTATCGGATCGCCCGTGGTCCGTCTATAAAGTATATTATTATATTATTTGTCGTCTATATATCAATAATCTTATTATAAATATATTAAAAATAAATATAAATATATTAATATTATATTAAAAATTACTTAAGATCAACTATTGGACAAGAGAGACTAACAAGCATGGCAATTTTATCCATAGAACATGAATTTGCTAAACAAATTTCATATGACGAAATCATCAATGAATTCTCTGGCCTTAAAGCAAGAAAATAAAATTTTTAAAGTTTGAAATTTACATTATCATAATAACTGATAGTTAAATAATATTGTATTACCTAATTATATATATTATAAAAAATAAATGTTAAAAAATATCATTCCGTATTTTCGTCAATTTTTTAATCGCTAAAAAGGCGCATTTTTCTAGGTTTGCCAGGGGCGCTAACGAGTCTTTCTACGCCACTGTCGAGGACCTATAATAATATGCATATATATACGGTTAATACCCGTTCACTATAGATAATATCTTTCACTATATTATATACCCTAGTGCAGTGGCGTCCGCAGGATTTTTCAATGGGGGGGGGGGGCTTGAAAATAAGTTACAAATTTATTTTTATTTTGTTTAGTCTAATAATTTCAGACGTTTATTTGAGATATTTTAAAATGTTTGTAACTTTTCAACTTTTCTGGTAGAAAAAATGCTCTTATCATAACCTTCGATGCCCAGTGTATGTTTTTGGAAGCAAATTGGATCTAGTTGGTACTTTTAGGAGGTCGAAATTGAATCTGCTCAGTGCTTTTAAAAGTACCTAATTGGAGAAAAAAAATGAAAACTTATTTAAATTGTTTTTTTAACAATAGCTTGGTTTGGTTATATACCGTCCTCACTTGGATTGTATTTGATTAATTAAATTTTTTTTTATAAATGTCAATAAAAAATTATTTATCCGGTCAAAAAGCTTAAAAATGTAATACCTAAGTTTTTTTATTATAGCTTAAATATTAACGATACATACCTATGCATTTAAAGTTCAAAACAATTTAACCACAGTTAATTTGTAGTTCAAAACTTATAAAATATGAAATATGTACAGCTAAGGCTAGACAATTTAATACGAGGTCTTTCATACAAGTAGGTAGTTCATTCTTTTACCGAAAAATGACAAATAATTTATGAAAATTGGTATGCAAATACAATGTTTTTTCAAAAATGAATTCATTCTGGTAAGACATAAATTAAATTTACGTCTTGCTTACTGTAGTTGACAGTTTAAACTTGATTAATATTTTTTTTTAAAAGTAATAATAATACGAGCAATGGGGGGGGGCTTCAGCCCGTTAGCCCCCCCCCTCTGCGGACGCCACTGCCCTAGTGTAAGTATTATTAAAAATTGTGATAAGGCCAGTGTGTACCTACCTCCAGCCGGAGCCGGTAAATTGCGTCCCCCAAAAAAGGTCATAGTTATATACTACGTAAATTGCGGCCCATGTACTTTTAAAACATGCGTAAATTGAGGCCCGGGTATTTTTGAAATGTACGTAAATTGCGGCCTGGGAAACATTTATACATGACAAAATGTATGATTTGCAAAAAAAAAAATTACTACGTTAGACCATGTGCGAGAATTGTCTTACAAATTTTTTATAATAAATTAATTTAATAATACATTTTTTAACCATACACATTTTTCCAGACACATTATTACTAATCGCTAATAATATATTTTTTAATTAAAAACAAAAAACAGCAAAACCAATATTGATACAATTATATTGACAGTCCCAAGGCTGAAAAATGAGAAGGAAAATATTGATTTTGCAAAAAAGGCTTAGAAGTAATTATTACTTACAGGGGCGTGCCTAGGGGGGGGGGTTTTGGGTGTTCAACCCCCCCCCCCCCCCCGAAAAATAAAAATAATTATTAATAAAAGTTGTACACAATATATTATATATGTGGAACTTGATTAGGCTAGGTTCACATGGTGTCTTTGCATCGCTATCGTGAAACACGCTCATTGTTTCGTGTCATGTGAGCGATATATGTATATAGGAAATCCGTATACCCATAAATACGCGCGGTTGACCGGAGCGCGTGTACGATAACACATCGGCTATTGTACTTTATCTCCGAATTTCCGATATGATATATTGTGTTCCATGTAGCCACGTAAAAATTAAACACGATTCATTTCGACCAAGTTAACTATACAGTGAACAACATCAAGACTCAAAAGATTTATAATACGATATTGCCACGTAAGTTTAATATTCTGTACTAATTTTTGTTTAATAAATTAATAATATTATATATAATATAATAATTAATATAAATTCCATTATAATTTCTAGAAGATGAAAAGGTCAGGTAAAATAACAGATTTGTTCCAATTAAGAACAAATAAATTGCCAAAGACAACTGATACTGACAACATAGGAAATATCGAAAGCGTCGAAAATGAAAATGTAGTTTCTACGTCAATAAATTTCGATTCTCAAGACATTGGTGCGTATATAAACTTAAGAGAAAAAAATATTATTTTAAATGATTTGAAACGTGAACAACTACTTACATCTCCGTGGGTCCCCCCGAGTGGATATGTATTTCCTATAGACAATACCAATAAACGAAATTTACGTTTTCAAATGAGTTGGATAAATAGATTTTCATGGTTGGTATATTCTGAAATAGAAAAAGGGGCTCTATGTAAGTTTTGTGTTCTATTTTCTAATTCTGATACTGGTAAAGGCAGTCACGAAAAAACAAAAAGTTTTGTGACACAGCCATTTAAAAAATGGAAAAATGCGATAGAGAAATTTAATGATCATGAGAATTGCCAGTACCATAAACTATCTAAAGAACGCGCAGAATATTTTTTGTCAGTAAATTATCGAAAGCAAAAATCTGTGATTGAAGTCTTAAACTCTGAACAAGCCCGTCAAGCTTCAGAAAATAGAAAAAAACTATATTCAATAGTTGAAACAATTATTCTTTGTGGTCGATTAGAAATGTCTTTAAGAGGAATGTTTTAAAAAAGCATGTGATAAATCATTTTCCAAGTAGTAGACATACAGTACTGTTATCGATGTGTGAAACGAGATGGGTATTAAGACACGATGCTATTAATCGATTTAAAGAAATGTACATTCCAATAATTCATGCGTTAGAAGATCTCCAAAATTCAATCAATACCGAAACTTCCAATAAAGCTTATCAACTCCTTTCGGTAATATTGAATGGCCAATTTTTTATTACTTTAAGCATAATAGAAAAAGTATTTGCTTATACGTTACCATTATGTTATCACTTACAGACTGTGAATTCCGATTTAACTGCTGCATGTGATCATGTTCAAAATATAATTGATGCTCTTAGTAATCTTCGTGAAAATAGTGATTCCAGTTTTAAATCAATATATGATACATGTAATCAAATACTTATTGATGTAGGTAGCGAAGTGACAATTCCTCGCTGCGTAAAAAAACAAATAAACCGGGATAATACTCCCTCACAATCACCTGAAGAGTATTACAGACGCACAATATTTAATTCATTTTTAGACCATACTATTGTTCATTTAGCAGACCGTTTTATAAAACATAAAGAAATAAAATATAAAACCAAAGTCAAACCCTCAAAATAATATTAGCTTTAATTCTTACGATCGATCTGAGATTACCCGAAAACCATAAAAAACGATATTACGCGAACGCGTTTTGTCTAGGTCGTGAGTGGGTCTGAATGATAAAACAATTATTGTCGATCTACCCACTTAAAGAATATGTTCATGTTTTGTAGGACATTTAAATCCACGCCCTAATAATCAAATTTGTTATCGTTTTCAGACTTTGTGATAGTATACCGTACTGCATGGTATTGGAATACTTTTAAACTAATGTAATTACCCAAAAGTATTTAGCTCTGTATTCTAAACACTTGTAAATAGGTAATAGTAGATGGGTAGTATACAAATTTAATTTACTTGTAATTGTTATATAATAAATATATCTTATACCATAAATTATCAATTATATAATTATAGACAAATACAAACATTGGCTACATTTTCCCAAAAACGATCATTTTTTTTCAAATATAATTTAATTATATAATTTAGTAATTTAGTATTAAAAACTATTTTAAAAGTATTTGGAATAATTTGATAATATTTTAAATGCTTTATTCGGAATACTATTTTTCATAAGTAATCGAATACCTATATTTATTTCAATTACTTTAAAAAATATTATAGGAAATATTACGATCGTTTTAAACTAGGTAGGTACCTGTGTTAGATTATAAAATTACGAAACGTCGTGATACATTAAAAATTCTATTGGTCTACATATTAGTTTATGTATTTTGACAAACAGGAATGTACAAATTTCAATTTTCGAAAGATCAGTTAAGTATATGGTTTTAATTCGTAAATTAGTGAAAACGCACAACAATTTATCACTTTTTAAATGATATTCGTAATTTATTACATACTATTTACATATTTTACTAAATTTAAATGATATTTCCTCAAAAATATTAAGGCGTTCGAAACACGATAGATAGGTAAGTTGATGTTATACCTAACATACAGCAAAACGACTCGTTTAGGTACTTATTATTATTATTTATTTATTTTCATTTAAAAAAATTTTAAGGTACATAATATATATATATTGAAATTAATACAAATATTAATACTTATTATTTATTAAATATGACATTGTATTAAGTAATTCAGTTCTATCAACCTTTTCTCACTGGATCAATATTTTATTTTTTATTTTACCGAAACCAATCCGTAGACTAATGCAGTTATTAGCTATAATTTGAACCCCTCTTTCTTAGAACGATAATTATTTGTATCTCATATCTAGGGCTCAATGCACTCAAAAAGTACTAAATATGCAAGCACTTATATATATGCGGTTCAATATCAATATGCTTTAAGAATATGCACTTTTTTTACTCACAATTTATTTTTATAAATATGAATATTTTTAAATCTTATAACTTTTACTAAATATTTATTAATAAAAAGCGGGAAACTTTCATGATCAATCATCAAATATACTCATCATCGAATATTTTTTCTTAGAATCGGCATAATAATTCAAAAATTGACTTTGAAATAAATTGAATAGCCCATGCAACTTCCGACTTCCGAGCCCTACTCATCAGTAATGTTTATAACAGACTGTGGCTACGTGTATATATTTCATGTCTGTAAAAATAGAGCTCGTCCACAAATATGAACATAAATTAATAAACAATAGATATAATATTATTGTTATGTAAAAAAAAAAAATGAAATGATAAAAATCGGTTTCTAGATATTATTATTTATACCTATACCAATTAATGTATTAAATGTTTAAACGAAATAATAAAATAGAGGTGGGCACCTTGCCAGTGCCGGATTTAGGGTGGGTGCAGGGGGTGCATTGCACTGGGGCCTCAAGACCGAGGTTGTATTAGGGGCCTCAGGTTGAATTCCTAACTTTCTATAACTTTGTATTATAAAATGAACAAATTTTATTATTTTAAGATGTTACTGACAGTGACCACCATTTATTTTGGACGGTTTGAATTGTAGCTAATACTATTTATCATTATTATTGTTTGTTTTACATATTATTTATTTGTATACACATTAATCTATATATATAAAAATGGAGACAAAAAATTCAAAATTGCATCAGTTGAGAACGGCTGGGCCGATTTCGCTCAAAATTTTTTTAAGATGTTCGTAAGAAAATTTTTGAAAAGTCAACCGAATAATTAGAAAAACTGCAAAAACTATTTATTGATGTCTGGGATTTGAACTCGAACCGTTGTCTTTATTTACTCTATGGTATATTATATTATTATATTGGTTGCTATTGATTAATGGGGCATGTTTGTTGATTTGTATTATTATTTTTTGTAAATATATCTTATATATAAATGAATGACGGTGTGTAGATTAGACCTATGGGAAGAAGATACGCTAATTTAAAAAGGGTTAAATTTGGTTTTTTTTATTCATCGGATTTTAGTACGGTTATGTTAGGTTAGGATTTATAGGTAGGTGGAATTAAGTAAAAACGTCAAACTTGGTATAACTTTGGTACTTTTTGAGTTAAATCATACACTTGTACACATACAAACAGCACGGGGTCCGCGATCTACTGCAGGTAAATTACCTATCTGATAATCAAGCCCGGATTAAGGGGGGGTCCAGGGCGGGCCATGGCCCCCGGGCCTCCATTTATTTAGGGGCCTCAGATTTGTCCATTATAGGCTATAACACCGCATAAATCACTTTAAAAAAATCGATGATTATTTAGCGAGGAAAAAAGCTTGTAAATTATAATTTATAAATAAAATGATACTTAATTCTTGATTTATTGCTATGTACCTAATACCTATATATATTTATTATAACAGGTACCTATATATTAATATACATTTTTTTTTCGTACAGGGGCCTCATTTAAACTTTGGCCCCTGGGCCTCAAAATGTCTTAATCCGGGCTTGCTGATAATGTACTGCTGCAATTCAGAATTTTTATTCCGGGCAACAGAAAAGTTGAGATAAATCTAGAACATCATACACCGAATATTAAATAACGCATTGAACAATGTTTGAGTCATATAGAGTTGGTACATTTAACGGGAAACGAAGTGCACGGGATCAGCTAGTATTATATAATATAGCAGGCATCGTATACTATTTTCCGGTGCATCCGAATTGCATGCCAAAAAAATAAATATAAATCGGGTCGTCCGAATTGCATGCCGTCTCTTGGAGGGGTCTGTCCGAATTGCATGCCGTCTCTTAGAGGGGTATATCGGAATAAATAACTTACTTTTCAACTGGAGGATCGGGATTTTGTTACATTACAATAAAACATATAAATATTGTAGAAAGTGACACTGTGAATATGAATCATAAAATAAAACTATTTTTTTTTCATCGACAACAGAGGCCATTAGTTAAATAAAACTATTGTAGCTTAGGGTAATCAAGTGAGTGTATTTTAAATAATATTATTTTTAAATTTGGTGGTTTTTTTTTTGACATTTCGGACACACAATATTACAATTTAAATAAACAAAATAATATATAATAATAAAATATGTCAATATAGAAATTTACATTTGACAGCTACAAAAACTTAAGTGACCGATACGTATGTCTATGTCTGTGAAACAGACCGAGACCACAATACACTACATTACTCCAATATAGATACTGTTTGGGAAAATATTTACACGGATATAAAAATATTTCAATCCAGAAACGAATCACTAAACAGTTGTAACAATCATACATAAAAGAGCGTTTCTATACATGCATTTTTTTTAAAAATTTAGGAAAGTCCAAAAAAAAGTTTAAGTTGTTTAAGTGCATAGTAAATAAACGTGTGGTGTACGGCATGCAATTCGGACAAACCCCTACAAGAGACGGCATGCAATTTGGACATTTTTTTTTTTTGGCATGCAATTCGTATGCAGCCCTATTTTCGTATAATCGTACTATTTATTTAATCTCAGAGGCTCGCGCAGTCGCACTAGTGCTGTACCTGGCTGGACAAACTAATAAGATAACCGTGGTTACATTTATTTATTGTTTAATATAAACGGATTATGATTTGCGTGCATGCCTTGGTGCAGTGTTATTGGTTTCGGATATGTTATTTTGTACTTTTGTCCGTTTTATTTTTTGCGTACCTACTCAATTATATTAATGTTTCATTTGGTTTTTTAAAATGTAAATTATTTACCTGCACTATCTTTTATTGACTTTTGAAAAAAAACATGTCTATATAGACAATATGAAAGTTGTGTATCTAAAATACGGAGAAAAATGTTCAAAACAATGAATTAAAAAATATAAAGGATTAATGAATAATTTTGTATTGAATTCAGATAATTGTACCTGATTCATATTTGTGTCCTTTCATTAATTTAGGACAATATAGAGAATATATACATTAATGATTAATACATCATATCTAAGGGTGGTATAATAGATATGAGAACAGTGAGTGAATCTATAATTTCATAATTTACCTATTAAATTATGGTATTTAAATTTTTGTGCTTTTAGGTTGTATTTAATATATCAACACGACAACACGTATAAAATAAATAGATAAGTGTTGTGTCGAGCAAATTTTTTTTAATGGGCCTCCAACAGGTAGTTGCACCCCGGCCTCCTGAGACTTAGATCCGGCATTGGTACCTACTATGTAGTAGTGGCGCGTAATGACATATTTTTTTGTCTGAAACAACCGTGTGATATTTTCTCGAAAAGTATTATGAAGTGAACCACCGACAACATTATATCACGCATAATAACAACGACATTATTATACCATGATAAGTAGGAACTATAGGTAGGTACCTATATGTATAATAAAATAGATTACATATGATTAGCTACGATAAGTAGGTAATAATTATTGTAATATTATATCTACCTAGTCTTTTTATAATATTATTGCACTGCAGTATTTATCAACCATGACCCACTAATGCATTATTTAAGTCGATAATTTTTTTTATCAATAAAAACCGTCATATCGTATACCGTGATGGTAGGCATGGATAATAACACCGATTATGTGGAATAAAATCTCAGTCAACGATAATAATAAT